ATTGTTTGATTTTTTGTAAGAAATTTTGAACATTTGAAAACAAATTCGTGTGTATGAACGTGCAGGGAAGAATTCGCTTATTTATTAACTTCCAGCTGGTTCGAGTTCGAATGCCGTCAGAGGCAACTTTTATTTTTTTTTGTTTTTTTTTTGCTTTTCTTAAAAAAATAATGTAGTTAATAATACCAATTAAGGCAGTTCCCTCTTTGATGCGAAAATGCGGAAGGCAAAAATTAGCGTTTGTTTTGTTGCTTTGCCATAACGGTGCCATAGGTAGATATGTTTGTTGTAAAAAACTGCCGATTTTCGCACTTTCGCCCGAACGCACACAATTTCAAGTTGATTTTTTTCTCAGTGTATAAAATGCCGGCTGAGACTTTATTCTCAGACATGATTACGCACCACTGCAACTTTTTCGCTCTTCAGAAATCTAGAAGTGGATATTCCTTATGTTCTTTCATACACATATGTATGTATGTATGTACAAACACGTTCAAACGTAAAAAGTTTATAGTCACCTTGTAGACTATCCCTCTCGAATTTCTAACTAATTTTCGTAACACTTCATGTGATCGTAGCGTCTGGTAGGTAGCACCCCTCACATTGACGAAAACGGCGAATGTAAAATTTTTGCTTTTATCTAATCAATGCCAAGGAACAGCACGTAATTAGAAGTCATTAATCGTACTTACTCACCCGAATTGTTTGTAGTTTGCTAACAATGAGTGCACAGTGCACAGAAATGTACATACAAACATACAATTCTTTTGTACTAAATAGTTAAAGACGCGTTGTCAACTGACTTCTCATTTATACTTAAGTAAATATAAAGTTTTATCGGTGCATATGTTTTCAGATGTGTACCTAAACAAACCGCTGCACACATGTTCCATATATACAGTGGGGAGCAGAAATGAGTACACGAGGATTTTCGTTAAATATTTGCAAGGTGTTAAAAGATGACATTTTTTCACAAAAATATGGTTCATGCTTTAACCAAAACCATATAAATCAAACTTTCACAATTTATACAGAGCTTAGAAAAATTTAATAAATTTTCATTCAAATTTTTAGAAATTTTAGGTTTTTGTTTAAGCATGAACCATATTTTTATGAAAAAATAACCAAAATAAAATTTGCCTCAAAAAACCTTCCGAATCGTTTACAAAAATCACCATGTACTCATTTCTGCTCCCCACTGTATATGTACATAAACTCATTTGCGTATATATCTGAGAATGAGGAAGTCATAGCATTGTGCAATAAACGTTTGCGAACGTGAAATGTTAGACATAAGAAGGTGAGAAATTTTACAAGTCTACTTATTTATTTATTTATGGAAGCTCATACTGTAAATTAGAGGTCAAAAGCAAGTTGTATGCAACTCAACATGCATGCACTACATTTATAAGAAACCATTACTTGTGAAGGGAAAATATTTTGAAAGTCACTTCTGAAATAAAATATGGTTACCTTGAGTACTCATGTCGTTGCAAGGGCAGCCACAAACGGCAGTGTGGATACCCTGTACGAAATATGAAAATTTTAGAATAAAAAGTTATTTTTCTGTTTGGCACCAAATTGAAGGCTACACCGAGTATGCATTTTATAAAAGAGCAAAAATTTTTTTTCTAGTTTTGAAGCTTAAGGCTTGTTTTCACTATGTATGTCAAATTCAGTGGCATTTATCGTCAAATAAGTGAAAACAGATTGTGAAATGGAATTAACAGCTGTATATGGATTTATTTCCTGAGATAGGTCCTTATTTGTATACATGGACTACTAAATCGGCTATCTGACTGAGTTTTGGCCCATAATATCTTCGGTAAAATTGTATATAAAGGAGATAAAGTTGCATCAAATTGTATCGACCAATTTCGGGGTCAAAATATAATACATAAAACAACCAGCCTTTATTATTTTGAGCAACATACATGTAGTATCGAATATTTTGAAAGCAAAAATTAAAAGCAAAGTTTACCTGGCATTTCTTGAATAGCGTATAGCGCGAAATTTTTGCCCCAATTTTTTGATGTTTTTCCGATACTTTGCATCGATATCTATGCAGATACTATGCATACATATGTTTTTTTGTAGCTTAAAATTTTACAGTTTTCGGTTATAAAAATGAATTTTTGGCCTCAAAAAAATGGTATCAAAAAGGTCAATTAAAAAAGTGGACATAAATTCAGTTGTTTTCTCATGTAAAAAGGGGACTTTTTAAATTACCATAAATTTATGTAAATTTTTTAAACGAACCAAATTGTATGATTCAAATAACCGCAACCCAGTTTTTATATTTAAAAAAAAATATATATATATGTCTAAAATTTTAAATTACATATCTACCAAAACCTTACATATGTACAGTACGCACGCGGTAAACGCAACACCTCGGCTAAAGCAACACTCAAATGTTTACCATTAGTAACTCTGTAATTGCAACTTAAAAAAAATTGTCCCTCAGTAAACGCAAATTTCTATCCATGATTTATTATTTCTTTAAATTGTTGTCTACAATGGCCCGAAGAAAACTCGGATTCAATAAATGACATCAAAACAGATTAACCAAGAACTATAGTTATTTCGACTTTGCATACATATAAATGATTTTCAAGAGAATTCAACTAATACTTTGGTTTTATCTTACAGTGAACAAAATTATTTGACTTTTGAGACTTTAGTTTCGAGGTTAAATTCTCATTTCAGACTGAAATTTTTTGTGATTCGGTTATTGCCGCTTATTGCCACATTCAACGCAACTGCCCGACTTTTTCCCGGTTACTTTTACCGAGGGCATACTGTTTGTGTGTGTATAAACAATATCGTGTCGGCCTTTTTTTTACTTTTTTTACTTTCCGATTCAAGCGTTCATTTATTTATTCCCTTCTGGGTCCAAAGAAAAACACGCATACAAATTTTCATGCGCTCGTAACGATTAAGCAAATGGAATGAACGTAGCCCAGCAGGCATTCTACGGCGAAGCGAGAGGGCAGCACCCGTTCAAGGTCGTTGTTAAAACGTCCCACTGACCTACTTTTGCACAGCTCACTACCGGAAACAAGCATCTGTACGCGTATTTAATTACAAGCACAGCTGCAGGAAAAAATTGTGAAGCATACAATTAGGCGTGTTGCACAAACAAAGGATGCACTTGACCTACAGCAATTTGTGTAAAACTCGTATGTACTATGTATGTCTATTTTTCAAATATGTTAGTGTCAGTATGTGCTACGTATGTACAGATATACCTACATGTGTATGTAACCGACACTTTCAATGACACCCAATCTATGCAGACACTCGGCACTCCATATTTACATAGTACATACATACATACGCTTGTTGCATATGAATTACTCATAATTTGTATTTATTCTGCCTAACACTCACTTAATTTTTATTTAACAATCAATTAGGCACAATTATTGCTACTTTGAATTGATTTAATACATTTTGTTTGTTTAGAATTTGTGGAATATAATTTTATTTGTTTACTAACCACCATCAGCACAGATTTTCGAAAAATATTTGATACTGTGTGGGAGGCAAATGCTTGCCTTTTGTATGCAATTTGTGCTTTCGTAAGTTCAGCGAGCTTTCCAAATGCATTTGTTGCTTCCTATACCCGTGATGAAATGTTAGTAAATATAGTGCACTGTGTAGCAGCACACAATGAACGGTGTACAGAAATAGCAGCAAATTAAAATTTCTTCGGTGGTCTTGATATTACGACTTTTTTTTCAAAATCTCCATGCATCAGACAAAAATCGCCCAACAAGTGTTTTTTTCAGCCCCTAGATATCGTTTTGCTCAAAATTTCTATTAACAATTTTCTTTATAATAAAAAATTATTAAAAAACAACGCGATTTTTGGGCTATAAAACTGCAAACTAAATTTTTTTTAACTTTAAATAAAAAGTTTGAAACTTTGGTGAAAGTTTGTTAAATTTTTCTAATATTTTTCTTTTATTTTCAGAAGTTTATTATATGCAATTTAGCATATAATGAGCTAGACTTATAAAACATAATGTTAAACATTGAAAAAGGAAATCTAGCCAAACTGTTGGAAATAAGACGTTTATGAAGGATATTTCTTGAAGGGAGTTGTCACCTTTTTAAGCTAATTTTAAATCAATTTAACTTGTAAATTAAAAAGAAAATATTTTTGAATAGGGTCTGCCAGATTGCCAGATGAATAGGGTGTTGCCAGATTTTTTTACCAGCCATACGGGATTTGCAAAAATTTACCGTAACAAATGAGAAATAATGGATTTAAAAGAGGTGTCAGACGTGACAATGCAATATATTTCGAAAAGGCTGCCAAATTGAGAAACTTCAGAAAGCAGTTGCGTGTAAAGTGTTCTTCGAGATTAGATTTTTATTTCCGAAATACGAATTGCAGATTGCTAGTGCAGCACGAGCAAGTTGAAATATATTTCCGAAATCGTTTTGCGCTCTCTCAATTGCAGTCACATCTTGGAACTTTTATTTCTGAAACTGATTTCTGAAATGTGACAGAAAGGTCTTTCTGGCTGTTCTCACAACGAAATAAGATTTCTCTTTCCCAATTTGACAGCGAATTACGTGGAAAAGTTGAAGATATTGCCACGCCTGAAACGCTCTAAAGGTTTAATTATAGCATGTTTTGAAAAGTTCGAGTTTAATTGAATTTGTGAGTCATTGACTATAGGATATTGAATATAAGACCTCGATATGTAGAAAATCTCTGTCACAGTCAATCCTTTACCAAACGAAATTCTGAGTATCTATGTGGTGTTAGATAGAATATAATTTAATGATTTTAAAAAGGCTAAAAATAATTTACCACAACCACTTATTTCGTTAATACAGTAACTTAAATCGAAGAATTATAAATACTATGAGGACGCCAAACTTAATGGACGTTTCATTTCAAAGGGCTGCGAAAGCTACGATCGCAACGAAGGGCGCGTCTTCAGCACAGGCGATGCTGTGGTTAATAAGATTTGTGTTAAGGTCGGCGACTTTTGTAAAGGACCCGAATCAACCAACAGCCGCTGGTGCATAAATGGTTGTGTCTGTGGCAATGGCCGTGCTGGTGTCCATGGTTCCGACACTACTAATGGCCGTGACAACGAAATTGACTGTGGTAAGGTTTCCCCCGTTAGCGTAGGTAGCGATTCAGTTGATATACACATGACGCCATCGGGACAACTTGGTGGATAGTGTGGTATCTCCCATTTCCAAACTCGCCAAGCAACACAACGGCCCAAAGATTGTTGAAAGCCACTACCATCGGGACAACTTTCCTGCAAGGGTTCCATATTTAAACCAATACAGCGCCAATAACGCATTGGATCCCAGAAATTTCTGTAGAGATGACCAACTTCGTCAGGAGTTTTGCAACCGGGTTTACCATCGTACGTACTCCTCGCTGCAATGGTTGTTATACCAATACCGAAGTTGAGTATAGTTAAAGTGAGTGCTGTAAAATTTAATCGTTTATGTATTTAATTTTCTAAGGCAGTACGCAATATTAATAAAAGTACTCACTCAGAATATGCATCTTTCGCTGGAACTGGGGCAAGACCGACCGACAGAAAATGGGACCTCAAGTGTCGCGTGCATTTGTTATGTTTATCGCTTTTATATGCTCTTCATGTTTGATGTCTTTTAACAAAAAGTTGTATAAATAAAAAAATATAACATGTATGATGATTTACAAAGTCGTTGATTATCATCGATACTTATTGATATGATCGGTGCATTCCCCTACAAATGCACACAGTTATGCTGAGTGCTGTAAGTTACCGGTCTTCGTCGACCGATAAGCGGCAGCAATGCCATTGTATTGGCAGAGTTTTAGGGCAATTCTTGCTAAAACGCGAAAGCACTTGTATACCATTTAGCTCGCATCACTCCAACGGTCGCAATGGCCGAGTAGGCTAATCCGAGTTCGAGTACTGGCGCAGCAGAATTTTTTGTTCTTTTTTAATTGAAATTTTCGGTTTTCTCTATTTTTAAAAAGGAAATATATATTATTTACGTTGCAGTTGGTTGATTTTTCCGACTGGGTGGTAAGATGATTCATTTTGGAACGAATTTCCGTTATCCCTTGTCAAGTTCGGTTTGCAGACAAACCGGTTTCGAAAAATTAAACCCGAAGATGGCACAACGCCGAAACCGGTTTGTCTGCAAACTAAACTTGACAAAGGATTTTTTTGTCCTCGCAGTAAACTTTTGACCTACCAAGCTAAGACGTACTCAGCTAAGATCCTTCGGTGTGTTCCTCTTCTTCCAATGCTCCTCGTTAATAGAATTGGCGTCTACACTCTAGAAGGGTACACGTCCAATTAAACTCCACTCTTGGATGTTATTATGTCTACCAGTCAGTGTTGTCATTTTGGAATTTTCGGAGCTAGATCCAGCTCTTTATTTTTCTTTTTATCTCTGAAAATTTGGCTTAAGCACTTAGCTCTTTTTTTGCTATTTTCGAAATTATGTAGCACTTTTCTAGCTCCAGATAGTTTTAGTTATAATTACAATACAAATATGTAATTTCATTGTACAAATGTTGACTAAAATTTATTTGGCTTTGGCTATATTCGATACTTGTTTATTATTCTACTTCGATTAATACTTAGAAAATCTTATTTCATCGTTTTTATGTATGTATTTGTGTGATGCTTATATACATATAAGAAACTTATAAAACGTATAAGGAAACGGTTTAGAAAATTTTCCTGAAAAAAAATTATTCCTAACACGAATATTTATGGCCAAAAGCTTAATTGCAAATTTTAATTGCAATTAGTTTAATTACAATTAATTTAATTGAAATACGCAATTAAAAGTTTAATTGTAAAACACAATTAAAATTTCACCTACTTTACTTTTTTAATCAATTAACAATATGATTAAAAAAATAAATTGATTAACGCCCAACACCGTTCTCTGCTCTAGCGTTATAAATAAAATATAAGAAAATATTTATTTTATTAGTAAAGACACACAAATATCCCTATAGAAACACAATTTCAGCGCCACCTGCCTGTGATTTTCAGTGGTGAATTAAGCACTCGCGTTACCTATCGGTGCGTAGCCGAATTGGTGGGTAAATTTTTGCCCGCCTTGGTTTCACAAGAAGATGGCACGCATATTGAGCTGTCAAAAATTCTATAAAGTCCCTAACCGCTCGCGCAAATGACTTTTGGTCAACCGATAAGGATGGCGTGCGGGAAAAAACAAAGCCGCCGCTTCCGAAAATAATTTAAGCAAATCCAAACAAAAGAACGTAAATCTATTTATCTTTCTATCTATCTATCTATCTATCAAATTTACCTTCTTTGGTTCATTTATCAAAATGACAAATTTATCACTTTATCAAGTTTATCAAGAGTTTATCCCTTTCGATGAAGATCCCTTATTAATTGCTGTTAATTAAATATGAAATAGATTAACGTTATTGGCTAGCAGATTTTGTCCAAAATTTCTCCCTTAACGTAATGATTGTTTTGCGGGACCAACCACACTGTTCTTGTTAAACGTCAAAATGACAACAAATGTCAATATGAAAATAAGAAAAAATTAGAATGAAAGTAAAAACGTAGAACGACGGAAAATTGTGAAAAAGTGCAAAAAGTTCTTCTTGCAAATAGCGGTGGCCTAGGCAATTACAATAAATTAAATAATCACTATAAAAATGGAAATGTTTACGTCACATTTGTATGCAACAATCTGAATTGGTAGTGCGGTCGATTACGAAGTCGCAGGAATGAAAATGCATCCAGTGTGAAAAACGAAAAGTAAAAGAAAATTCCTCCCAACAACAAATGCAGCAGTGGCAAAGCAGCGCTGTCGGCCGCGCCTCCAAGCCCACTTGCTGCCAAAAAGAATTGATGTCGTGTTCAAAGTGTTTTCTAGCAAAATAATCGTGAGCTATTGCATAAAAATCCACAGAAATATTCTAAATCAGCTAAAACAAATCATTTCAAGTGTTACCATAAACGACAACAACAAATAGAACGTGCAAGTGCATTAACATTCCATCATATAAGTTATTTTGTGGGGGTTGGAGAACATACGGTTAGGGGGGGAGCAAGTGCCGCAGTGCTAGTCACAACGAGTATTGGTGGGTATAGAAGGGCTACAATTTGCTAGCCAATCACAAATAACATCGAATAAAACTTGCCGCACACAAGTTGCATCAGCCGTTTGTGTAGTGGGTCAATACTACAGTTGATCATCAGCAAGCTACCACACATAAACAATAGAAACGGAGTAATGGCCGGCCAACTTGATCCGAATGTCAAGGACGACTTAAAAACTCAATTTGTGACGCGCGAGGGCACCTACCGGCTACTCACACTGTCTGAGTATTCCCGTCCAAATCGTGTTGGTTACACCAGCAATCAGAGTTCGCCGCAAGTGCGTGTTTCCATAGTTTCGCTACCCAATAATAACACTTGTCAAAATGTAGCAAGTGGTAATGGCAGTGGAGGAAATAATGTTATAGGCGGCACTGTGAATGGCAACGCGAATAATTCAACGACGAATAACTCGAAAGCAAGCGGTGATGGTTCTGCTAATGGCAGTAATGCCTCCGGTCCGGGATCATTAATTAATGGACAGCAGGTGACATATGGAGTGCCAGCCGCAATGGATGCGCGACTAGGAGCGGGCATATCAATGCACACAATGATAAATGGTGGTTCAGATGGACAGAATGGACTGGCAAGCCAGATATATGGAGGCGATCGAATTTGCTTTAACTTCGGCAGGGAATTGTATGTCTACGCATTTAGAGGTGTGAAAAAGGTAAGTAAATTCATAATAAGACTTACTAAGGTACGAGATCCGATTATCGTTTAAAATATTCTATTTATTTTGGTTCTAAATTATGTTATATTTGTAGACCCTTTTCTTGGAGACACAGCTGAATGTTGAGTTGTATATAAGATTACTCAGTCGCAAAACATTTTCACTTTATTCTTACAATTCCAAAAGTAACACAGCCACACTCGTCTACATAGCTACTTCCTTCTGCTTCTCCTTAAAGTCGGAAAAAATAAAAAGGAATTTAAATAAATAACAAACATACCTACTTCTTATCTTATCTAATGAGCGTCTAACGCAGCGGTACGCCGACGTTCTATCAACACTACTGCGGTAGCCACTTTTGCACAGCTCCGACAACCACTCCACGACCAACCGCTGCGTATTCATACATACTGTGTACATAATAAATTTTTCTTGCTCTCGATACATGCTGTTTGATGCACGTTGCAGCCAATCTCCTCTAGTACTGGCGTTGAATTGCTAGCGAATTACGCAAATGTTAAGTCAAGTAATAACAACATATGTAAACGAGCAAGCAAACAACTGAATTAGAACTGGACAAATTTTAATAACTATAAGCAAAACAAATTGTTGCAATGCATACCTATATAATGTAATGAATTGGTGTGGACCGAAATTGAAAAAAAAAACACAGCTAACGCTTATGGCAAAGAAAAATGAAAATGCAATGCCCCAATCTAGCCGGTACAGCGAGTGTACATACAAATAGGTATATATATTTCTGTATTAGGCTTGGATAGTTCTTGAAGTAAAGAACTAGTTCATCTCAATTTCTCATTTTGGATCGCGATCCAAATATTATTCGTACTTGCGAACGTATGACGTGTATCCATATTTAACCTTTCGTCGGAATATTTTTTTTAGTAGGTTGCCGCTGAACTTTGGACCACGCTAACCGATTTTGATAATTCTTTTTTCATCTGAAAGGTGCTACCTAAAGCATGGTCTACTACTAATTTTGTTTAGATCCGATAATTGGATCGTGAAGAAATTAACGATAATCTTAAATTTGTATATGAGAATTGAACTCGGTATTGTTGTTTGCTTAACTTAATTGTTGTTTTATATACTCGTTTTATTTACACAAAAATTTTGTAATTGAAAATTGAAACCATGTTAAAATTGAATATGCTACGGATGTAACTAAATATTTTTTTTAATAACAACAGAGGTGTTAAAGAATGCAGTAAGGGATTGCAATAATTTTATGGTATTCCTAACTAAGAGTAAAAAAAAATAGTCTTTTGTTTTTATTTTTTTTATTTTTTATTCATGAATCATTTTTAGCCATTTCTTGTTTGCAATCAACCATTGGATTGCATTCTTTCAGTCACTTATTGTTAGTCATTTGATTTCAGGCATTAAAGTGCATTCTTTTGCAGTACTTTGAATTTTTTCAGCGACCGCGAACGCGTTCCGGCTTTGCTTTAGTTCTGCATGAGAACAAAAGGTTCTGCATAGAAAACTTCAAAGCCCTGGCGGCACGGGTAAATATTAATCGATTTCAAAATAAAAATACGTGTCTCTTTATTTTTGCTATTCTTCAGATCTGGGGGGTACTTAGCTGGAGGAAAAAAATTTTGGGTCACCCTAATATACATATTCTGCCTTATCCCATGATTTAATAAAAAAGGTTTGCTCAGAAAAGTTTTCTGGCTCCCTCTTGACAAAATCAGCTTCCTTACGACGGGTTTTCACTATGTCATATTTTCACGCCAAAATTTGGCGACATATTTTGACACAACTTTATCTCCTTTATCCATACTTTTACCGATGATATTACATACAGCCGATTTCGCAACGCATGTACACGACTAAAGACCTATCCTGATCCGAATCAATCGATAAACCACATTCTGATCCCATTTGACAACGTGTTTTCACTTATTTGACGACAAATGCCACTGAATTTAACATAGTGAAAACCAGCCTTAAGCAAGGCACTTTGGGTGAGTTCGTGTGTGTGTGCATAGATTTTGTAAGGGAGTTAAGGGAGTGGCAAACCTTTAATTATTACATATAGGCTACGTTTCTTTATACATTCCGGATAATCCAATTTCACAGCCGGAATAAACAGAATGCGTTTGAAATATACGTCAACATATCATTAGGAACGTTCTAAAGAATAAATAAACAAAAAAGTTTATTCCAAACGTTCAGAATGAATAAAGAAATGCAGCCATAATAAATACAAATTTATTTCATTGAAAGTTTCTGGAATTCGTCATTTTCTAAATATTTCATATACTTACTACTGGAGTTTTAATTAAGCTTTTTAATTTTATGAATAAGTGTGTGCAAAGATTGTTTTAGATTTTCGTTATTTACCTTAGACTGCAAAAATGGCTAATTAGTCAGGAACAGAAAAGACTAATGACTTCAACTTTGCAGTCTTTAGTCAAACATGTGATTGATTGGCTGCAGTTAAAAAATGTTAGTGAATGTTACTGCAACGATTTAAAGTCACGATGACTGCATTCTTTAACACCTCTGAATAACAATAATGCTAAGAAGATTACCTTTACTGCAAATGTATGCCGTCGATTGAAAAATACTGCATATTTGTATATTTGTAAAAGTACTCTGTGAATTCAAATTACGACAGTTTTTGTTACAGTTTTGTTATACATATTTGATAATTATCAGCCCTATCATGAGTTTCAATTTTCCCCTAACCGGTATTTACTATGGGCGGATTAGAAATTTACGAGTGAAATTTTTTCGGTCCAAACTCATCAGAATAGGCCTTATCATGAGTTTTATTTTCCCCGAACCGGTTCACTTTTCACCTTTGGTTTCCATATATTTATTATGGGCGGATTAAAAAGTTTCGAGTGAAATTTTTTCGGGCAAAACTCAGGATAAGGATATAATATGATAATTCGTCAATTGAACTAAATGAACTGAATGACCTAAAGAAATAGTACACTGAGTTGAACGAACTACAACTGAACGGTTTTCTCAAAAGAACTAAAGTGCTCAAATCTATTGCGTATGTAGGAAGTGCTGAAATGATTTGCAAACACTCATTTAATTTGTCCAGCAATTGTGTGGTAGCAGCTAGCGAGCCATGAGGAGTAGCAGTCCAGATAGAACATCGAATAAAGCTTCGATGAAAGCGAAATTTGCTAAATTGAAATTAAAATTTTGTAGCGACCAATAAACATCAACCACTTTGTCGGTTTCTATGGTTTGTCTGTATTAGTATCTAATTCATAAAACGCAAAGGCAACCACTGATGCAATTCATAGCCCATATTTTAGTCACTTGCTTTTGTTTTGCTTTTCTTTCTTCCTTTGCTGTGTTTTTTTAAAGCAAAAATTACATTTTTCGCAAATGATTTTCAGAATTCAATGCACATTAATCTTAGAATACAAAATTTTTGTCCGCAACAAGTTTTCTTGCCCATCACTTCCATTAAATTCTACACACATGAAACATCTTACAGTCGAACCTAATTCGTTATATAATATTAATTCGTGGATTCAGATTTGTTATATAGTTTGTCGCTAAAAATTAATAGCGTTTTAACAGACGTTGTAACTCAATTTAAACCATCTATACTATTTAGCAGTCGTTAATTTGTTTACTTTTAAGTATACAGTAAAAACAAATGAATTTTTATTATCGCTAAATACAAATTGAAACGAAGACACCAATATTTCTCGCAACCCGCACTTTGTGTCTACATACTTAATTGCTTCTCAAGTATTTCCGACAAATGCGATCAACAGTACATATGTATGTATGTATATATACATATACATATGGATAACACTAGCTTTGAGTGAAAAGTTGCCAAGTCCAGTTTTTCAAATTTGACACGAGATAATCAAGCACTTCCGTATGTGGCAAAATTTTTATTCAAAATTTCGAAAAATTTAAGCTAAAACAACGAATAACATTCTCCTGTTGTTGTTGTTGTTGTTGTAGCGGCTACTAAACCCCGCTCGGGTCGGTTCACCCGTCAACGTTGTCGTCCGTTTCAGCTAAGGGGAGACCCAGGAAGTGCGCGACTTCAACAGGGTCTGTCCATAAGGACAGGGGCGTCAGCTCGGTGGGGTTCTCGGGGCATGTGAAGAGGTGCCGAGAGTCATGTGGCGACTCTCCACATGTCGGGCATTGGTTGGGCACATCGTCATTAATACTGCTCAAGTATGAGTTAAACCTGCTGCAATAGCCAGAGCGAAGTTGGGCTAGCTCAGCTGGCTCCAGCAGCTTTGTTGTTTTTCAGCCGCGTTATTGCTATTCCTACCTCGTCATAGTCAGGCGGTGGAACATCGACTCCGTCATCATCGACTGGGCGATCGGGTTCTTTTTCTCAACAACTTTCCGTTCTGCTACCATTCAGCAGGGTGGAAAAATGTTCACCCAATAATTTAGGTACGTTCTGAACATCGGTAACTAGGTCGCCATTGTTGTTCTTACAGGAGTACGCCCTGGTCTTGAAACCTTCCGTAAGTCTTGCGGCAAATACGTCTCGCTTCCCATATATCGCGCGTTGCGCCCGATCGCAGTCTGGCCCTGTAGGCGGCATCTTTTTTTTCTGCAGCTTCCTGACACTCCTCATCGTACCAGTTGTTCTTTCGGGCTCGCTGAAATCAGACTACTTCTTCGGCGGCGGGACATAATGAGCGGGAAATGTGGTTCCACTGTTTGCATATGTCGGTTTGTTGAAGAGTGCTCTCTGAGAGCAGGTGTGAGAGTCGAGTAGCGAATGCATTCGCTGTCTGTTGTGACTGCAGCTTCTCGACGTTAAGCTCTCCTTGCATCCTTGCATATTTCGGCGCACATTTTTTGCTGCACAGAGGGGGGTGCGTATCATGGCTGCAACAAGAAAGTGATCCGAGTCGATGTTTGGGCCTCGGAGTGTGCGTACGCCTAAAACATGGGAAGCGTGCCTTCCGTCTATCACAACATGATCGATTTGGTTTCTCGTTTTTCGATCCGGAGACAGC